TTGGTGTGGCCTGGCCTGTTGTCTGCTGGACTTGACGGTGATTTGGTCGATGCCTAGGCCAGTATTCTAAATATCACTCTGGTTGCTAAACAGATGCCTTCAAACAGAAATTACCTCGGCTCTGTGCTCCCCTGCTCATCCACACCTTATAGTGTATCCTCCGTCCGGCCCTCTTCACGCCTTTCTTGCTTTTCCTTGTATTACCCAGGGTTTTCTGTTTCCTTCATAACGCCCCTCCCCAAAACACACCAGTCTCTTTCATTAAAATAAAATAAAAAGCACTTCCCCAGACCTTATCTTCCCCCTTTATGATAAACCAAAAAAACCTGTTGCCATCGAGTCGCTACGATTCATAGCAGCCCTACAGGACAGAGTAACACTGCCCCATAGGATTTCCAAGGAGCGCTTGGTGATTCGAACAGCTGACTTTTTGGTTAGCAGCCATGGCTCTTAACCACTGTGCCATCAGGTTTCCCTCTTTATGATGGACTTCTTAAAAAAGCCTAGTACTCCCCCCTCCTCATGCTCCCTTCATTCCCACATCATCTGGTACTAAACCCAGGAAACCGTGGTTGCTGCTCACTGACTGCCCCATCAGTGTTGGTGACTTTTCTGACTTTCATCCTCACCCTTTAGCTACTCTTTCAAAGTCTCCTTCCTCAGAGGTCAGGATTCCTGGGGTCTGCATGTCCTGCTTCCTGCACCTCTCCTGTGCTCTTGGCATCCAAGGATTCCACTCAGTCTCCACCGCCCTTTACTCCAGCATTCTCTGTTCCTCCCACTCCACATGCTGCAGCCGAGCAACGGCTTCTCCATTTTGTTTCTTTGGATCACCCTGCTGTGCCATCCCGTTTCCAGGCCTCTGGCTAACCCCTCCTCATCCTTCACCAGGGCCACCTGGTCAAGGAGTTGTGTCCCTCCTCTGCTCCGAGGGCACCACCTTTCCATTCAGCTCTGAACCTCTGCTTTTAGCACTGACTATAAGCATCTCCCCGACAGGAACAATCTCGAGTCCTCAGGACCGAGTACCAGGAGGAGCTCAGTGATGAACAAATGACTCTGGGCTCTGCCCAGAGGGATACAAAGATGAATACCAGAGTTTACAGTTTGGAAGGAGGCATCAGACATTCCTGAAAAGCCATTCCTGTTGCCAGAAAGAAAGGGACCGGAAGCCCTGCAGGAGCAAAGGCCTCAAGCTGAGCAGCTTAGTTGCTCTGGTTTGGGTTTTTCAGGAAAAAACAAACTATAGAAAAACTAAAGGTGCCCCCGTTCCTCTTTTAAAACAAACGCCAGGGACTTTGAATAAAACATTCTATAAATCCAAGCCAGAACTAAGCTAGTTTATTGAACTCAAAAAGTGTCATTTTTACTAAACAAAGCTAAGGTTTTCCCAGAAATCACCTCATTAACCAATAGATACAGAAACAAAGTTTGTATTTCCCAAACAGTTTAACTGAACATACAGTCTACACAAGTATTTTATTCGAGTCTCTGCTAAGTAAGTCAATTTGGAAATTCACATGTGCCTGTCCTGCTGGGAGCCCAGGTGCCCGTGACTGACTGGGGCCTGGTGGGCCACCACCCCATGTCCCCACTCCGCTGCCCCGCTTTTTGCCACAGGATGTGACTCACAGTGACTTTAGCCACCACAATGCCAAGCCTGACCCTGGGCCTCACATTTGCTGTTCAACTCAAGTGAGATTGGCCATTAACCCTGTAAACAGGCCCTTGACCCCTGGAAGCTGGGGCTGGTGGTGCAGAGTTGAGCCTGTGACACAGACTGGGAGGTAGGGGCCGGGGCCTTTTCAGGCACCCCAGGGCAGCTGTCCTACATCCACATGTGGTCCTGGGTGAGCACAGGATGCAGGGGGTTGGAGCCTGGAGGGGCAGAGTTACTCCCACCCTTTGCTGATGGCCCCGCAGAGGCTGCACTACCCCCCCTCCACCCCATACACACACACAGGCCTGCCAGGATAGAGGCCACTCATGGCAGGTACTACCCCACCCAGACCTGCCCCCACCTGGAGGGACTCTGCCCTGGTGCCCAGATGTGCGCATGAGAACTTTCCACCCAGCCCACTTTACAGATGGATAAAATTGAGGGGGAGGGGGGGCATCACCAGACCTCTTATGAGGCTGCTGAGCTCTCCTTTCTCTGGTCCCCACTTTCTCACTGGGGGTGCCTTGAGCCGAGTGGGTGTCAGAATCCCCAGACATTGCCCCTTTTCAGACCACACTTTTCTCTTTAGGCCAGAGGGATCTTTAGGCTTCTAGGGCAGGAGCTTGATGGTGCAGCCCAGGAAGTGGGAAAATGAGGCTCGGGACAGGCCAGACTGGAGCAAGAGTACCAGGAACTTCAGGCCTCTGGGACGGTGAACAGGGCTGTATCTGCCCGGTGACCCCAGGGCAGGGCTGCCTGGTGTGTGTTTATGGAGTAGATTCTAGGGGAAGGAGGCTGGCTGGTGAGCTGCCCCTCCTCCAGTCTTTCCAAGATGTCACTGGAGTCAGGGCTGGTGGGGGTGGGGGGGTGGAGCTACCTGACCAGTAAATCCCAGGGTCTCTTGCTGGGGTCCTGCTGCCACCAGAGGAACCATCTTGCCCACAGCACTCCCTCGGTGAGTGAGGAGGCTGTGCTCCACAAGCCCTGGGTGCATGGTACACTGCCCCTTCCCGCTTCCCAAGCTCCTCCAGCCACAATCATCCTAGAAAAGCCTCTTTTCCCTCTTCTTCCCCACAACTCCACTGTCCATTTTTTTGCCTGCTGCCCTGGCATGGGAGGGACAAGGAGTCGAAACACCATCACATATGCTACACCCCCAACTGTCATGGGGGAGGTATGGCAGGCCACAGAGAAACGGGGCAGAGGGTCTTCCAGCACTGGGTGCCCCAGCTCTCACATGCACCCACATTGCTGTCTGTCCCCATAGAGAACTCCCCTGGCCAGCCAGCCATCGGCCTAAAGTCTCTGTTCCCCTCCCCAACCTTCCTTCTGATTTTGGAACTCTGGGAAGGAAGGAGGGGTGGGCTGAACCGACAGGGAGGGCCCTCAGAGCTGGCAAGTCTCGGTAGCCTCTGTGTCCCCATGCGGCAGAGCCCTCTGGGAGAAGGCTGGCCCCCTGGGGCATTCTGCTTCCTGACCTGGTCACGGAGCCCTCAGGGCCCAGACTTCTGCAGGCTTGGGATGAGGAGCAGAGGCACAAGAGGGAAGGGCAGCCCCTGAGGTGTCAGCTGTCCAAGGGGAACCTAGAGGAAGGGAGGATGTGTGAGGGTGTCAGACTCCTGAGTGCCGTCCACTGTCCATGGGAGCAGCCCTACCATGGCCAGCTGCAGGCTAGACCTCCTCCTGCTGCTGCTGCTGACCACCCACCCCGGACCCTTGAAGGCTCAGCAGGTACCCTGGAGGGAAGAAGGCCTCCATCTCACCCTGGGGCCTCCAGCTGGCCCCTGGGCTCCCAGGTGGGTGATGGGCCAGCCCAGCCTGGAGGAGAGGAAGAAAGCAGATAGGAAGTGTTGGCTGGGGCCTTCCACCTATCCTGAGCCCGGGGAGTGGTGGGGGCAGGCGGCAGCTCGGGTTCCTTTCTGAGGAAGGGTTCTGGGCACTGCAACAGGCAGCCCAGGCTACTGCAGCCTCCACAGTGATGCCCAGGCTCCCCCTGAGGACTATGGGCAGGGCCGTGGCTCAGTGGCCCCTCCGTGGGAAGCAGCACCTAGTGCAGATCTTGTTTGAGTAGGGTGAGAGGCCTCAAGCATTTGAACCCAGCCACTCACCACTGTGGCCACCGCAGCTAAGGGCTGGTGGCTATGTAAGGGGAGGTGAGACACTAAGTGGGTGCCCCTGCCTCGGCACCCTGTTTCTCTCTACCCCCACTGCATACAGAATTCCCAAGAGAATTCTAAGCAATGTTTGATAAGATACTTATGTTACAGTAAAAGATCAGAAGTCAGTAGTGGAGGGGAAGCCGGTAACTGAACCTTCATAAATAAGACAGTAGTGGCAGGAGGTGGGCAGCCCCTAGGTCAGCGGAAAGGGATGAGGGGTGTGACCTCAGAGAGAAGGGCCTCAGGACTAGATGGGCACTGGCATGTGCACTAGGAATGACTCAGTGACTGACTGCAGAGCTCCCCAAGGCCATAGCAGAAGGCAGGCTCTGCCCACAAAGGTGTTAACAGAGGCCTTATTATTTTGTAAATTAAACGTATTTTAAGTGCACGGGGGTAGTACAGTAACTAAAGGACCAAGTGTCTATTTCCTATAAGGCAAAGCCTCATCGCCTAACTTAGGTCGGTGTGAGCTCAGGATTTTACATATTAGAATAATTTGTGGTGGGCAACGCAGCAGGTCCAGGGGGCTGAAGCTTCCACGCTGGGTTCTCAGGGTTTCTCGGGGGACGAGTCCGCGCTGGGTCCTCAGAGTTTCCCCTGGAACGAGTAAGCCGCTCTTCTCGGGGGCCGGGGCGTGTCCACAGGACCTAGAAGCAGGCAGAGCGGCCGGTGGCGGCAACTGCTCGGGGAAGCCGGGTCGGGACAGCAGGGGAGGGGAGGAGACACGGAGCGACCTCACGCCGAAGCTCGGCGGTCACACAGCCGGAGCGGGCCGGGTAATGACCGCCCCTCTCCCTCTGCAGACTGGACTCCGAGCGCCGCGCTCCACCCACCCTCCAATGAGAGTGAGGTCCCCGAAGCTGTTGCCTCGAGTTCTGTCCTTCGTCCCCTCCCTCTCTTCACTCCCGCCTGAGACCATTCCCGCATGGGGGCTAGAGGGGCGACCGGACAGGACAGGGCCTGCAGGGCAGGCCCAGCTAGAGCCTGACGGCGGTGCGGGGCTGCCTGTGAAGGTTGATAGGGTCGCAACACCACCTGCGCAGCTCGAGAGGGCGACCGAGGGACAAGGCCACACTCTAGAAAGGCGGCACCCAGGGACTGCATGTCCCATGGTGCCCCGCGGCCGCTTCCGGGTCACGGTGATGCCATGGCAGCGCGCCGGACGCCGTGAGCCGACTCGGCCATGCTGCGCGCGCTCAGCGGCCTGGGCGCGCGGCCCCAGTGCCGGCCTTCTGCCCTGCTGTTGCTCCCCGCGCGCGGCCGCAAGACCCGCCACGACCCGCCGGCCAAGTCCAAGGTCGGACGCGTGGCGACCCCGCCTACGGTAGATCCTGCGGAGTTCTTCGTGCTGACCGAGCGTTACCGGGAGTATCGCCAGATCGTGGGCGCCCTCAGGTGGGTGGCGGCGGGTGAGGTGATGGCCTCCCGCGCCCTCAGGGGTGTTTGTTGGGGCGGGGGGTGAAGAGGGTGTCGACAGTAGGCGCGTCTCCCCCCAGGCTGGAGTTTGTGACCGAGGTGCGGAAGAAGCTGTACGAGGCCCGAGTCGGGGTCCTGGCCGAGCGCAGAGCCCAGGAGAAGGCCGCCGAGCACCGGGAGCTGATGGCCTGGAACCAGGCGGAAAACCAGCGGCTGCAGGAGCTGCGGTGAGTGGGGCGGGAGGCGGGGCGGGCTGCCAGGCCCTCGAGGGGAGACCCAGCCGCGCTCAGTCTCGGCCTCTCGCTCCACCCAGGATAGCGAGGCTGCAGCAGGAAGCGCAGGAGCAGGAGCGGCGGCGGGCGGAGGAGCAGGCCTGCCAGGCCCGAGAGACGCAGGCCTGGATGCAGCTCAAGGAGCAGGAAGTGTTGCAGCTGCAGGTGGGCCGCGTCTGATGGCGGATTGGAGTGGCGGACAAGTCTTGTTACGGCGAAGTGGGGCACTGGCTATGTGCATTCAGAGAGCGTAGCCTGGAGCCTTAAGAGAGTGTGGGTGAGGATTTAGGGGAGGAGCAAAAGGAGCTGCCTGTCAGGCATGGAGGTGAGAGGTGGCTAGCCATGGTGAGCCAGTGTTTGTGGGAGAGACCACTGCTTTCCACAAGGAGTTGGTATTTAGTCCTGCAGATGATAAAGTTATTGAAGAGTTAAGTAGAACTGGAAGATGTGAGACTTAAAATCAAGGAGACCAGTGAAGGAGAAATCCCACAAGAACGGATAAGGCTTTAATTAAAGTAGTAGAAGTAGAAGAGTGAGTCTGAGAGAAATTAAGAGATGACCAGGCAACAGTGAGGGACTGATTTCACCCGTGGGACATGAGATTGCCACAGCTGGTGCTTGGGGTTCTGGCTGAGGTGTCTGGGGATGATTGGCCAAGAGAGGAACGTGGCAAGGCTGCCAATGGCACTCCACTGGAAGGTCATTGGGGCACTCAAGAGGACCTGGACTCCAGGCCATCGTCCCCCAAGAAGAGCTGGAGCCTCTCCCTAAGTGGGGCTGAAGGTGAAGGCCAGTGGCCTTATGGATGGGCCAGCGCATGTTCTAGGGCTACCATTCATCTGCTTTCTCTCCCAACAGGAGGAGGCGAAAAACTTCATCACCCGAGAGAACCTGGAGGCACGAGTGGAAGAAGCTTTGGACTCGCCAAAGAGCTACAACTGGGCTATCACCAGAGAAGGACAGGTGGTCAGGCCACAGCACAAGGGATCCTAGGGGCCCCAGAAGGACAGTGCCCACCCAGGGACCCTGTATGTGTGAGGATCAGAGAGTTGGGCCTGATCTGAAGGAAAGCAGTTGGTGTCTCTTCTGAAGCTCAGCCGGCTGCAGTGCAGTCCTCACACTGGCTGCTGCACCCACCACTTGGTCGGAAACTCCCAAACACAGGCCCTGTTCTGCCCTCAGCAACGACCCTCAGCATAGCACATGCCCTAGAGTGGTTTCCACCTCACCGAGGAGGGGCTACGGTCCCCAGGCAGCCAGGTCATCTCCTATTATCAATGGCAGGAGCAGTAAACTACAGCCCATGAGCCAAATCTGGCCCACTGCCAACTTTTGTAAATAAAGTTTTACTGGAACACAGGCGTGTAAATTCATTGACTACTTTTGCACTACAGTGGCAGAGGTGAGATGTTGCAACACTACAAAGTCTAAAATATTTATTATATGGCTCTTTACAGAACAAATTTGCTGACCCCTGACCTAGGGATTTAGGGCTGCAGTCAGGAGCAGAGTTCACCTAATACCTGGGCCACAAGCTAACCATTGGCAACGTGTCTATGCCTGCTTGATCCTGAGCTTTGCTAGCCAGTGTCTGGTGTGTCCCAGGACACAGAAGTCAAGGAGAAGACCCCATTCCTTCCCTCAGTGATTGATACCTGTCTTGACACTCCCAGCTCCCTCGGCCCATCCACCAGATTGCAGATGGCAGGGGAGGCCCGGTTGACCAAAGCTGTGCAAACGTCAGTGTGGCTGGTCAAGCACTTGGACCAAAAGCAAACCAGAAATGTTTGTGATTAAGGTTTAGAAGGCTGAATAAGTGAGCATATAGGTCCATGGCCCCTATTCAGACACAGGCCCTCAAGCAACATCTGAGATGGGGTTGTAGAGTCTCTGAGCAAAGCTGTTGACCGTCGCCACACATTCATTTGAACTTGCCTAGATACCACCAGAGGGAAAAAGGGAATCCCAGCTTCTTCCCATGATTCCCACATTAAAAGGAGGGCCTGGGAACCCCAGTAAATGAAATTTCTGTTAGGGAATGTCGATGACCCCTCATGTCCTAGGTGAGGAAGCAGGCAGAGGGACCTGGTGGCGTGGTGCCTGTACCCCCGAGAGTAATGGCTTCCCTCCTCAGGCTGGTTTAGCGTTTTCTCCTCCCTGGCACTGAGCCCAGTCAGAGCACTGTGCATCCCTAACTTCAGATGCTCAGCATCACTGGGGTTGTGAGCTGATGGGCATCACATTGGGCCATGGTTTGGCAACTGTGTCCACCCCTTGGGCTTCGTCATGTTAAGAAAAGTGGACCATCTATTCCCCCTGCGGTGAAAGCCTTTGGTGAGCTTTCACATGGAACACTGGGCATGTGCCAGGAGGCCCAGCTCTGCATAATGTACTCCTTCCCAACTTCATCGCAATCTTCCAGGCTTTTTTCTTTCCAAGCTCCTGACCCTTTGCCCAAGATCCAGTGTATGTCCTTAATGCAGTCCATCTGTCTCTTCAGATACAGGAGATACTGCTATCTTCTGGGAGCTCTGCCTTTTGGCTGATTTCCCTTCACTACTGTCCTTCAGGGTCCTGCATGGACTGTAACACCCTAGCCAATCACTGTTAGCTGATGCCAGTATGTCATGCAAACCAAGCTTCAATGTTTGTATTTTCTGCCCACAGTCTTGCTGCTATAGGCACAAATAGGCAGCTTCCTGGTACCTTCAGGGTTGGCTCAAGCCCATTCCCATCTGTACCTGCTTCTAATGGGTCACAGAGTGCACAGGCAGGCTGTCAGATCCCACCACATAGTTGCAGAGCAGTGTGGTGTCCCATGGTAGAATGTCTAATCTCTGGCAGGAACCTGGATAGTTTACCTCATAGGCATGGCTTTGCTCAAAGAACACTAGGATCTCTTCTGATTCTTGCCTTGAGTTCCAAACAGGGTTTGGGTCGCTACAATGTGAGCTTTACCGGGTTGCAAGAGCCAGAGTTAACGAAAATCATACTTGCTGCAGCCGGGACCACCCGGAGAATCTTCCTTTTCTCTAGGCCCCACTAGAGGGTGTTCAGTTTGGGGGTTACCAATTAAATGCATTGAAGCAGGATACTCAAATGTAAGTGCTCTTGCCAAGATTTGAGGTGTCCCACTGTGCTTTCAGTGCACTGGGGCAAAGAGAGTAGATCAGTACACAGGTGCAATTTGTGATTTGCTTGAGGAAGAGGAGGCATGCCAACACCCAGGAACCTCACTGAGTGAGCCATTTGCCCAGGATTCATGTCCCCAGTCAGGTGTAGATGTTTTACCATGACACCCAAGATTCTTGCCCCTTCCAGTTCTCCAGGATAAGCAGCATAACATCAATGAGAGGGACCACCATGATGTCTGGGGGATGGGGTGCTAAAGTAGCCAAGGTCTTGAGGATTAGGTTGTGTAAATCTGTGTTGTTTTTGTTGTTAGGTGCCGATGAGTTGGTTCCGACTCATAGTGACCCTATGTACAACAGAACAAAACACTGCCCACTCCTGCACCATCCTCACAATCGTTGTTATGCTTGAGCCCATTCTTGCAGCCACTGTGTCAATCCATCTCACTGAGAGTCTTCCTTCTTTCACTGACTCTCTACTAAGCATGTTGTCCTTCTCCAGGGACTGGTCCCTCCTGATAACATGTCCTAAGTACTTGAGACAAAGTCTTGCCATCCTTGCCTCTAATGAGCATTCTTGCTGTACTTCTTCCAAGACAAATTTGTTCTTTATTCTGGAAGTCTATGGTATATTCAGTATTCTTCACCAACATCATAATTAAAGGCGCTATTTCTTTGGTCTTCCTTATTCATTGTCCAGCTTTCGTATGCATACGAGGCAATAGAAAATACCATGGCTTGGATCAAGCACACCTTAGTCCTCAAAGTGACATCTTTGCTTTTTAACTCTTTAAAAAAGTCTTTTTGCAGCAGATATGGCCAATGCAATATGTCATTTGTTTCTTGACTGCTGCCTCCATGGGCATTGACTGTGTATCCAAGTAAAATGAAATCCAGTCCTTGACAACTTCAAACTTTTCTCTGTTTATCATGATGTTGCTTATTGGTCTACTTGTGGGAATTTTTGTTTTCTTTACGTGGAGGTGTAATCCAGACTGAAGGCTGTAGTCTTTGATCTTCATCAGTAAGTGCTTCAAGTCCCCTTCACTTTCAGCAAGCAAGGTTGTGTGACCTTCGTATCGCAGGTTGTTAATGAGTCTTCCTCCAATCCTGATGCCATGTTCTTCTTCATATAGTCCAGCTTCTTGGCTTATTTGCTCAGCAAACAGATTGAATAAGCATGGTGAAAGGATACAACCCTGATGCACACCTTTCCTAACTTTAAACCATGCAGTATCCCCTTGTTCTGTTTGAATGACTGCCTCTTGGTCTATGCACAGGTTCCACATGAGCACAATTAAGTGTTCTGGAATTCCCAGTCTTCGCAATGTTATTCATAATTTGTTATGATCCACAGTCAAATTTCTTTGCACAGTCAATAAAGCACAGGTAAACATCTTTCTGGTATTCTCTGCTTTCAGCCTAGATTCAACTGATATCAGTAATGATATCTTTCCTTCCACATCCTCTTCTGAATCTGGCTTGAATTTCTGGCAGTTCCCTGTTGATGTACTGCTGCAACCACTTTTGAAAGATCTTCAAAATTTTGCTTGTGTGTGGTACTAATGATATTGTTAGATAATTTCCACATTCTGTTGGATCACCTTTCTTTGGAATGAGCACAAATATGGATCTCTTCCAGTCAGTTGGCCAGGTAGCTGTCTTCCAAATTTCTTGG